TTGCATTTACTATTATATAATTAAAAATTAATAATAGTTGTACGCTTGAAAATAGTGTATTAGGCATGTTTGATTACGATTACTTTCATGATACTGTTTATAATATCGTAGATTTAAAAATGTATAAATCTGAACATTTACACAATAATAATGTGTTTTTATAGTCAGTCAGTAGGGAATGTCTGCCGTATTTTTAAGCACTTTCTATTGCTTTGTAGGTATGGGCAAAGGTAGGGGTGGGTGAGCCGACTACGGCAGCTTAGCTCAGACATGAATTCATATGTATTCCACACACAAACACACAGTGAGTCTGATTACCACATATTGTGTACCCTTGAGACATGTCTGAGATAGGGTTGCCAAATCTAATTATTCCCAAACTGGAGGTTTGCAATAATTCAGACCAAATTTCCTGGAGAATCCTGGAGACAGTCTTTTTTGCTAAGGTTGAGTAGCAGATCAATATTTAGGATAATTTTCTTTTTTAATACAAAACTCATGATTCTTATATGAATTGAAACTGCTTATAATTTAAATAAAATTTTACAATTTATTTTAATAATTATTTTCTAGATTACTTTGAAATTTGGTTAATAAATTCCTTAACATTGTTTTTATCAGAAATTATCATTTAACATTTCAATAATAATAATATAATTTCAGAGATATTAATTAATACATAAACTAGCAAAGTAGTTAATTATCCAAAAACATTTGTTAATATTTCGCGAACACTAAAACAATATTTGATTTTTAATGTTTATTGTAATTTTATTGAAATAATTCTAAGTTTTCAAACGATAATTTACAGTATTTAGTAAAACTCCAGGATTTAATGTACTGTAAATTCTTTAACACCAGATACTTTATTTTAATCTCTAACACAATTTTGGACATTGCAACTTATCTATCTTTACCAAAATTTATAATATATAACATTGATTTTTTCTAAATTTATTTCCTGGAGTTCCTTACCTCCAGGTCAGACCTCAAACTGGATCCTGGAGTCGGACCTCAATTCCTGGATAATCCAGGCCAATCCTGGAGGTTTGGCAACCCTACTTACGATCAAAATTCAGGTTTTTACGAACGGCTTACGTTCAAAGTGTTTCACAAAAGTAAACACATAGCAAGTTATGACAAATATTTAAGAGAGCTCTATAGCTATCTTAGTGTTTTAAATATTTGTATATTTTTGTTTGTGCGTCTATTTTTGGATTATTATGTCTTGGATTGTGGTCTTAGAAGAAGAGCTATTACCCTCACCACGAAGGCGACAAATGAAAGACCGCACCAATCCATTAGAAATGTTGGACGACAAAGAGTGTGTCCAACGCTTCCGTATGGACCGAAGCGGGGTCTCATCTATATGTCAACTCATCGATGAAGACATACGGCACCCGACAAAGAGATCAAACGCAGTACCAACTATTGTCCAAGTTTGCGCGGCATTGCGATTCTTTGCGCAAGGGGCCTTCTATCGTGTAACGGGCGATACTCTTGACATTAGCACAGCCACTATGTCAAGAGTGGTTCATGCGGTGGCAAGAGCTCTCTCATCAAAAGTTGATTTTGTAAAATTTCCAGAAACAGAGAGAGAACTTGCCGTTACAAAGCAAGAGTTTTACCGTTTAAAGGTAAGCTGATGGGCCAGCAGGTTGTCCAGACTGTTGTGGTGGTTATGATTGGCATTGTTTATATACTTGAGTAGCAATTGACTAATAATTTTTTTATAAATATAGGGGTTCCCTAATGTCATTGGTGCCATCGACGGTACGCACGTCGACATTAAAACTCCACCATTGGACATCGGAGCCGACTATGTGAACCGAAAGTTTCGGCACACAATCAATGTCCAAGCAGTCGCCAACGCAAGACTAGAGTTTACCGATATCGTGGCTCGGTTCCCTGGCCGAACTCACGATTCATTTATATGGGCAAACTCTGGTCTCCGTAGGCGACTAATTGGACAGCCGGACATTGGATGGCTTCTTGAAGACTCAGGTTATCCACTTGAAGCCCATCTGATGACCCCATTATCGGCACCTCAAACACCTGCTCAAACCCGTTATAACGTGTCTCACATTAAGACACGTAATGTGGTTGAGCGGGCGTTCGGTGTGCTGAAAATGAGGTACCGATGTCTTGACCAGACTGCAGGAAAGCTAATGTTTAGCCCCGAGCGGTCATGTTATGTCATTATAGCTTGTGTTATACTACACAATATCGCTAGAAGACACAACTTTTATGGTGAAGACATCGGTGACATCAGTATGGCTGCACCCGATGACACTAATGATAATGACAACCATAATGTCGACAACAATGCCAGAAACATTAGGGCCACTATTATTATAAATAATTTCAATTAATGTCTGAGATATCTCAGAGTAAATGTAAAACTAAGACAATAATCAATAAATAGAAATCAATTCAATTCAAAATTGGGTAAATGATTGAGGATTGCGTCTAAATCGTCGCATTCAATGGCTTTGCGACATCGAGTTCGGCATATAATCGCTTTCATTCACACTATTCGCGTCATTGTCTTCGTCGAGGACCGGCTCACAGACGGTCGTCTTCACCATTTCTTTCACTTCATTATCGGTGGTCTCCGCCCTTCTATGGGTTAATTGTTTCCAAAGACTGGTCTCTCACAACACAAACAAATTATTTAAATAAATTTTATTGTTATTAATATTCTTTTATAAATACAATCAATAAATTCTTTAAACATTTATGAGAAATAAAAGCATTTTTATGAAATTTATCAGTAATTGAATTAAAATTTATTAATAAATAGTTAAGTTGAATGAAAATTGGAGAGATCTTTGAGTTCTTGATTGCAATCAATGCCTAAAGACTCATATTTTTTCAATTTCGCTGATAATTTAATTCGCTTTAAAGCTAACAGCTCACCCATAAGGGTTACTTTCTTGTGTTCGACTTCAAGAAGTTCTTCAGCTTTAGAAATACCAGTTTCTGAATTAACTTCAGAAAACCTGGCTCTTTTAAACCCGAAGTTCTTCTTGAATTTTCGATCGCTCGTTAGCGTTTGTGACCGAAATGTGAAGTTTGAAACTTCACTATCGGTCACATCCGTCGTGATGGAGGACTTGCGCTGATTTGAAGGAGTTGGCGAGGCGGGAGGGGGTGTTTGTGGTGAGTCTTAAGAGATATCAATTATGATTGATGTGTCACAATCGTTAATTATACCATCAATTAATTGAGGATTGGTTGCCGATAATAACAATTCTTCTGATTGTGATAATGTTATCTTAATAGGCGAACCACCACCTGTCCCTCCACTATATGTCTTCACTTGTGAACCTTTTTTCTTCGTATCGGACTTGAAATCTGATAGTTTCTTGGTTACTTGTTGTACCGTACGAGGACCTGATGTGCTGACAGCATTTACAGCAAATGTCATGTCTTGGTATGCGGTTTTCTTCATTTCTCTTGTCAAATGTGAAGATAACTGCAAATGAAAGACACAAAACAACGAGAAATTGGTATCAATTAACAGATCCTATGAATGAATGGTAAGTTTGGTAGGAATGGCGCCAATGAGACAACACCTGAGACATTAATCGCCGACAAGAGTGCGGCAAAAGAGTCCACAAATGTCTTGTCATGCAATGAATGGATTCGCAAATGATGGCAAATGAGTGTTGTGTTTAATTAAATAATATAATACTTACACTTCCTTCAAGTATTGATTTCCTGTTGACATACTCATTAACAAGAGTTTCAATTTCAGCATCAGTCCAATTTGCTGATCCACTTTTAACCACAATTTGTTTAGATTTTTTTGAATTCATGTTTAAATGAAACACGTGTTGATAATCAAAACAAAACCCATATGATAGCTGTTAACAAGCATATATATTTAAAGCGCATGCGTATACTTGCGAATACTCTCTACGATTAAGAATATATTGAATTGTTTTGTGAAACTGAATGGGATTTACGATACGATTGTTCCCAATCGTAGTCAAGTTTTATCGTATCTCTCAAATTCTCTCTGAAACGACTCCCTGGTTCCGTCAGATCATTCGTAATCTGCTTATGACTCGCGTTTTCGATGAAGTCATTTTAAAGTTCTTTATAATTCTCAAAATAGATCTTAATTATTCCATTTGTACATCATTTCAAAAATAACTTACTGGCAATTGGTCTATCAATAGACGTTAACAAGACTTAAACTCAGGGTAGAAATCACCGTCTGCCGTGTGTTTGTATTTAGTTTTATTGTAGTTATAGTTCTCGTGAACTGTACCCAACCCAAAATCACATAATTAAACAAATCTATCGTTCCTTACGTTGTGTGCAATTAATGTGTTTTTTGGTTTGAGGTCTCTGTGAATGATCTGTGGATTAAGTTCATGCAAATAGTGAACACTTTCTAAGATTTGTCGCAATATTTCACACGAAATAATCGACTAAATTCATGACTCCATCCAATTGTCGGCCAAATACTTGTGGTTTCTCTCCGAGAATATTGCTTATATTCTGCGAACAAAATTCCATTTGAATGAAAAGGAACCCAGGTTCAAACCATGAATTATAATAGTCGACCTAACAATTCATATTGTGACTTAACTTTCACAAAATTCTACACTTATTTCAATGTTCTGTCTCTTTCTGTTTCATTGAAATGTGAGTAAAAACTATATCATTAAAGATTTAATTGAATATAATATACAAATACATTCAAATTGAATGCGTTTAACAGCCTATATTTGCAAATCAATTTTATGTTTCACATGAAATGCTTGTCAAAAACTTCCGTAGATATCTAAATGCGCCAAACAATCAGTGATTCTTTCCGTTGGAATAAAGTATAAAAATTTTGTAAATAATTTTTAGCAATTTATAAGAATTATATAAAGCTTATTACATAATTGAAGTGTAAAATATAATTTTTATAACTCGTTATAATTATTATTTGAGTCAATATTATAATATACAATAGGCTTTATCAAGTTAATACTACTGTAAATTTTTAATTGACATTTATTTATCTTTTGTATAGACCCGGATTAAAATATATATCTCGTGTCATATCCAATGCGGTCACAATGATTTTTGGATGTTCATGAACACCATGCTCAGTTTCTAGTCGTTTTCTTGTCTATTTAATAGTTAAAATTAATTTTATTAATATTATTAATTTAATAAAATAATAATATAATATACCATTTCAACTAATTGATAAAGCGGTTTATTACAGGCATACTGTGCGATCGTATAACTGAATGCCTGTCCGAATAATGTAATACTTTCTGTGGGGTTACGCCACGAATCCATAGCTAAAGTGAATTCAATTAAATCATATTAAGTTCATTAACATTTGATAAACATTAGATTATATAAACAAAACCTAAATTAAATTAACCGGACATACATTTAGAGTGTGTGTTAATGACATAAGTGCGAGGATTACTGGTATTCATGTGTATTTCTTGATCAGTTTCCAACTGTTTGTTAGGATTTTCTATTATAGAACCAAATGTGAATGCTAGTTTATAAAAACCCAAAATACAATTAAATACAAATACAAACCAATAGAGAAAGTGTTGAAAACAAATATTTTCGGTTTGTTTCGCAGAGACACACAATTAGTGTCAGAAAATATGTCCACAATATCTGTGAACGATATCTCATTGTGGGGTCTATTACCGTATCCGCAGATATTTTCATTATATCCGCCGCCAATAAACATCACAAACAGGGCGTTGGCGTCGAATGGCTTATCCCGTATAACCTCCAGCACATCCCTTATCTGAATGCAAGTGGCGTCCCGATACACGTCGTACTGGAATCCTAGCTGTTTGAAGATGGACGACCATCTGTCCGCCTCATCCATCAGACCATCTGTGGCCACAAACACTATGGCTCGCCCTCTGGGCTGGGAGTCCATTAAAAAGTATCGGGAACTCCCGGACCGCAGTATTGACGCGTTTATGACTTTTAAATCCATATCATTAGTGTAGGGCCAGGGCTCCTCCATGCTGAACATTCTCATATGAGTTATCGTACGGTAATTGTCATTATTAGTAACCATTGACTCATTATGTTGTATAACAGTTGATAAGAATTGATGGAAAAATTTATTTTCATAAGTCTGGAGCTTATTTAATATGACCTTGTATATCTTATCATTTATCAGAATATTCTTTTTAATAGACCACTCGCTATATCTATCCA